TAGAACTACTAGAGCTTGACTTGAGCTACTAGAGCTTGAACTTGAGCTACTAGAGCTGAACTGGAGCTACTAGACTGAAACTTGAGCTACTAGAGCTTAACTTGAGCTACTAGGCTTGAACTGGGGCTACTTGAGCTGGAGCTAGAGCTACTAGAGCTTGAACTGGATCTACTAGAACTGGAACTGGAGCCTACTAGAGCTTGAACCTGAGCTACTAGAGCTTGAAACTTGAGCTACTAGAGCTTGAACTTGAGCTACTAGAGCTTGAACTTGAGCTACTAGAGCTTGAACTTGAGCTACTACAGCTTGAACTTGAGCTACTAGAGCTTGAACTTGAGCTACTAGAGCTTGAACCTGAGCTACTAGAGCTTGAACTTGAGCTACTAGAGCTTGAGCTGGAGCTACTAGAGCTTGAACTTGAGCTACTAGAGCTTGAACTTGAGCTACTAGAGCTTGAGCTGGAGCTACTAGAGCTTGAACTTGAGCTACTAGAGCTTGAACTTGAGCTACTAGAGCTTGAACTGGAGCTACTAGAACTTGAACTGGAGCTCCTTGAGCTTGAGCTGGAGCTACTTGAACTTGAACTACTAGAGCTTGAACTTGGGCTACTAGAGCTTGAACTTGAGCTGGAGCTACTAGAGCTTGAACTTGAGCTGGAGCTACTAGAGCTTGAACTTGAGCTGGAGCTACTAGAGCTTGAACTTGAGCTGGAGCTACTAGAGCTGGAGCTACTAGAGCTTGAACTGGAGCTACTAGAGCTTGAGCCGGAGCTACTAGAGCTTGAACTTGAGCTAGAGCTACTAAAGCTTGAACTTGAGCTGGAGCTACTAGAGCTATTAGAGCTTGAACTGGAGCTACTAGAGCTTGAACTGGAGCTACTAGAGCTTGAGCTGGAGCTACTAGAGCTTGAGCTGGAGCTACTAGAGCTTGAACTTGAGCTGGAGCTACTAGAGCTTGAACTGGAGCTACATGAGCTTGAGCTACTTGAGCTGGAGCTACTAGAGCTGGAGCTGGAGCTACTAGAGCTTGAGCTGGAGCTACTAGAGCTTGAACTTGAGCTGGAGCTACTAGAGCTTGAACTGGAGCTACTAGAGCTTGAACTTGAGCTGGAGCTACTAGAGCTTGAGCTACTAGAGCTTGAACTTGAGCTGGAGCTGGAGCTACTAGAACTTGAACTGGATCTACTAGAGCTTGAGCTAATAGAGCTTGAACTGGAGCTACTAGAACTTGAGCTGGAGCTACTAGAGCTTGAACTTGAGCTGGAGCTACTAGAACTTGAGCTGGAGATGGAGCTACTTGAACTTGAACTACTTGAACTGGAGCTACTAGAGCTTGAATGGCTTGAACTACTGGAACTTGAACTGCTTGAGCTACTAGAACTTAAACTGCTTGAACTTGAGCTGCATGAACTTGAACTAGAGCTTGAACCTAAGAATATATGGATTTTAAATATTGTTCAATATATTGTCTTGCGTTTTTCTGTAATAGCAATTACAATCATATACAAATATGAAAATAAGAGAATCTGTCAATATAGTATATTTCCTACAAAAGTGAATGAAATATAGCTTTAGCTTGCGAAGACTTACAGCTTGAACTTACACTGCTACAACTTGAATCACTTGAACTAATTGAACTTTTCTAGGATGAAAATAAATACACCTCATGAGACTTGCAGATAATAACTGCACTTAGCAAGTTCAGACTTACTACTAAAACTTGAACTACATGAGCTGGAGCTGCTGAATCTGGAGATGGAGCTAGAACTGGAACTGTCTGAGCTTGAGCTATTGGATCTTGAGCTGCTTGAACTAGAACTACTTGAACATAAAATGCTTGAGCTTGAACTATAGCTTGAACCTATGAATATATGGTATATATAGCTTTTCAATATTTTTTTTTTGTTTGTTTGTTTGTTTGTTTTTTGGTTTTGTTTTGTAAAGGGAAAATCATGCGTCATAGACTAGAAGAATCACACCGAATAGGATCTATTTTCAAAATAATGGATAAGTGCCTCCTGCAAAAAAGGAGAGAAACTAGGCTGCAAGACAATGCTTTAAATTACAAAGTCTTACAACTTGAAGTGGAGCAAGTAGGTTTTGATCTTGAACTACAAGATCCTGAGATCTTTGCATGTCTAGACTCACTGCTTGAACTGAAGCTATTTAAATTTAAACTGCCTGAGCTTGAACACTTGACCTGGAGCTGAACTTGAACATGGCCCTAAGAATATGTAATTAATAATAACTTTCTTTCAACAGTTACCTTTTTTGTAAATGAAAAAAAGAACACCAAACGCTTAAGAAAATATTGTGTTGCAATGAAGAAATCATTACAATAGTCTTCCAACAAAGATTGGAAAAAGTCTTAGATTGTGAGGACTGACTGCTTGAACTAGCATTACTAGAACTGTAGCTTCTAGAACCTGGAGATTAAACCTGTGAAAAAATGTATAGCTAACAGTTTTCTCTATATCACCGAAGGAAATAAAAATAAACATGTAGTTTTATATGTCTGAAATATTAATATATATAAGTAGTTCAATAATATGCAACTTCTAGAATAAAAAATATGCTTCTGGTAACGAAAACCGGATACTTGGGGATAGATTCTTGTCTTAGCAAGTCCACATTTACTAGTGGAACATGAACTGCCTAAGCTGGATCTATTAGAACTTGTGCTAGAGCTACTAGAACTGGAACGGCCTGAGCTTGAAGTACTAGACCTTGAGCTTGAGTTATTAGAACTGTAACTGCTTGCTCTTGAGCTACTAGAACTAGAACTGTTTGAACTTGAAAAACTAGAGCTTGGACTAGAGCTACTGGAAATTGAACTGCTTGAATTCGAACTAGAGCCTATGAATGCATAGATTATGTATAATTATCAATCTTTTGTCGAATGTTAGAAAAAAGATCTCAAGAAATCACTACAAGATCACCAAAGTTTCTAGCCTTTTTGGGCTACTGATAAGAAATGGGCTTCCTGAAAGAAAACCATACTGCTAGAATATGAACTACTTGAGCTATAAATATTAGAAACTGAATTGAAACTGCTTGAGCCACCGAATCTGCAACTGAGGTACTAGAGCTTAAACTACTTTGTAAGCTACTAGAACTAGAATGTGAACCTACGAATAAATAGGTTGTACTTTAATCTGGTCTTCCATATTTCTGTTAAGACAGCTTATTTAGACTTACTCGAACTGGAGCTACTATAACTGGTACTCCTTGAGCTTGAACTGCTTGAGCTAAAAGAGCTTGAACTACTTGAATTAATAGAGCTTGAACTGCTTGAACAACTAGAGCTTGAACTGCTTGAACAACTAGAGCTTGAACTGCTTGAACAACTAGAGCTTGAACTGCTTGAACAACTAGAGCTTGAACTGCTTGAACAACTTGAGCTTGAACTGCTTGAACAACTAGAGCTTGAACTGCTTGAACAACTAGAGCTTGAACTGCTTGAACAACTAGAGCTTGAACTGCTTGAACAACTAGAGCTTGAACTACTAAAACTTGAACTGCTTGAGATGGAGCTGGAGCTTGAACCTTTAAACACAGATTACAGATTTCCCTGTATTAGTGTGAGAGAGATTATTAATATTTAGAATTATATATTACAATTAAAAAAAAAAAAAAAAAAACTTCTGGAGCTGCTTGTTACACCATCAGGGTCAAAGAATATGCTCTACACATTACAGAACAGCATTTAGATGCTGCTGAATAAAAGCTTTCTATACCCCTGTTAGGTGGGAAAAACATTTGGTACTATTTCTGGTACCAAGCTGCCCTTACTAGACCTTAAACTGAATTAAATAGTGAAACTGATTATTGAACTTGACCCAAAACAAGTATTCTATGACTTTACAAATGGTAATTTCACATATAAACAGATCTAAGTTCCTTCCATTTCATCTTATGAAGAAGGTGGGGGGGGGGGGGGCCTTTGTCTATATTTCTCTTAACAGGAAAAAATAATGATTAAAGATCACTTATGAAAGGGGGCATGCAACTCACTTCCAAACATTATAAAGCATTCTTTATAGGTTACCAAAATCTATGGGTTGCAATACTTACTGAACTAGGACACTACAACTTTAATTGTTCTAAAGCTGATGTGTTTTTTTTTTTTTTTTTTACAGAATATGCTTCCATTTCAATATAATAAATCATGTTTCCCGAAAAGGAAATAAGAAAACTGAGATATGTTACATAGCTCTAGACAGGTACAGACTTACTGCTTGAGCTTGAACTGAAACTGCTTGAGCTGGAGCTACTAGAACTTGAACTGGAAATACTTGTACTTGAGCTAATGGAACAAGAGCAGCTTGAACTTGAGCTACTAGAGCTTGAAATGTTTGAACTAGAACTACTACTTAAGTTTAAACTTGAATTAGAACTGCTTGAACTTGAGCCTAGGAATATGCACAATATGATTATGTTTATGCATAAGGGTAAATTTTAAAAAGCAGAAGCAAACAAATCACTTTCAGTGAGTTGTCCTTTTGGATACTTTCTTCCTACAAAGGGGCCAGAAAACAAGATTCCCGTCCATGACCCTAGGCAATGCAGATTTACTGCCTGAGCTAGAGGTAATACAGCTTGAGCTTCTTGACCTTGAATTCATAGAATATAAACTTGAACTATTTGGATTACTTTAAGAAACTGGAGCTTGAGTATATAAATGCATCGATTTCAAATACCACTTAATGAAGAAAGTGACATGACAGAAAATCACATGCTATAAAGAGAGGACCAATAAAGAGGATATCAAACCAAATAATAGAACAAAAATTGCCATTGCCAGAGAGATTGTTTCATTTCTGTGGAAATTCCTTATCTCTACAACTGTTGCCTTGGAAATACTCAAAGGGTAAAGGTGTTCTTACCTTGTTAACAACAGTCCTGTGAGAAAAAAAATCCTTTATAATAAAATAACCCTGTTTTCACCAAAGGAAATAGAATATTAAGTTGTAGCAAGGAATAAGGTCTTAGATTACTTACTGCTCGAACTTGAACTGCTTGAGCTGGAGCTGCTGGAGCTTGAGCTTGAACTACTCGAACTGGAACTGCTAGAGCTTGAACTACTTGAACTAGAACTGCTAGAGCTTGAGCTTGAACTACTTGAACTTGAACTACTAGAGCTGGAACTGCTTGAACTTGAACTGGAGCTTGAACCTATGAATAAGCAGATTATAACTTTTTCCTATTTTCATAGACAAAATGCAGATATCTGGAATTAAAGATATCAGTGGACATTGGAAACAAAAAAGGTATTTTTTTTTGGTATATGTGAGATAAATCTTGAACAAATAGATGGAAAAATGTCTATATAATAGGTTATATATTGCTAAAGCTAAAGCATATTGCTAAAACTTCAGCATCTGAAGCTGTAGCTACTAAAATTTCAGATTTGGAATAAACTTTAATCTATTGATTTTTCCCAACATCAGGAGGGAAGGGCTATATAGAATGTCAATTTGTAAAGTTTTTCTAAGAATATGTGTTAATCAGGGTGTAATATAGGTTGGTACAGACTTGCTGCTATAACTTGAGGTGGAGTTATAAGACGGGTTGAACTAGAACTTAAACTTGAAGTACTAGAGCTTGAGCTTAAAATGGTATCCAGAGGGAAGGGTATTTCATCAAACATTCAAGAGAACTGAAAGCTGATGTTAAAAGTAATAGGAGTGAACAAATTACATGGTGAATGAGTTTTTGTTGTTGTTTGTTGAGTAAACACAAAAATATAAGATAAATACTTATTGGAAAACTAATGGGCAAACATGGGTGAATATGGGATTTTGGACTAAGCCATATTACTACTTCTAGTTATAAATACAGTGTTTGACCTAAGACCATTGGAACTGGAACTCATGCTATATATATATATATATATATATATATATATATATATATATATATATATATATATATAAACATCCATATGGTTGGATTTAGTAATACATAAAGTTAACAGCAGCTCCAATATTAGCTTCTGTTTGCTTTTAAACCTTCTGTGCCTATAAGTGTGTCTAACATACACATATGACGATGTCATTAATTTTATACATATATGTATATATATATATATATATATATATATTCAATACATATACATACGGAAGTCCCCCTGGAGTCTCTGTGTCTCCACTGTGCCTTTGTTTCCTGATTCCCTAACCAAATTTAGGGAATTTGCTTTTTCTTTCCGACTGAGAGGGGATAAAATTAATGAACTTACTGCTTGAGCTGGAACTTGAACTGGAAATACTTGAGCTTGAGCTTGAGCTACTAGAACTTGAGCTGGAGCTACTAGAGCTTGAACTGGAGCTACTAAAGCTTGAACTTGAGCTAGAACTACTTGAACTGGATATAGAACTACTTGAACTGAAACTGGAACTTGAGCTTGAACCTATGAGTACAACATTTATAAGTGTTTCTGCCTGCACGGGGTATGAATAACTAAAGAAAAAGAAGAGAAAAAAATTTAATATTCAATAAATATTAGCTTTCATTTCAAGATATTCATGTGTATGCGTGTATATATATATTAACGTATTGTTAATTGTTTTTTCAGCAATTGCAAATGAGACTTTATGTTTAGTCATACTGATATTATGTCTGTGTAAATGTATTGCCTGTGAACGATTCATCACTTCCTTTTTTTGGTTTTATTTTCTGGCAATTTTCATGAACCTTGAAAAGAAAGCTAGGGATTGAAAAAGAGCAAATGTACTACTTACTGCTCGAGCTTGAGCTTGAACTTGAACTACTAGAGCTTGAACTGCTTGAGCTACTTGAACTACTAGAGCTTGAACTGCTTGAGCTACTTGAACTACTAGAACTTGAACTACTGGAACTTGAACTGCTAGAACTTGAACTACTGGAACTTGAACTGCTAGAACTTGAACTACTTGAACCTGTAAAATAAATTCAGAGATAAAGACATTGTTCTAGTAATTCCATGCAGAAGTACAGTGTTTATAGAGTAAAAACAAAATGAGGCAGATCAGAACCTTGATATCAGGTACATGATAAAACAATCTGCTTATACACCCTTAGTACAAAGCACTTGCATTTGCATAGCATGCCGTAGTATGATGCATGATGTATTTTTGTGGATATTAGTGCAGCAGCCATAACTACCAGATTTTAAATTACAGGGACAGCAGGATACTAGATGTAGCATATCTTTCAGAAGACTCCAATATCAGCCTTCCAGAAGGCTAAGTACAAGTACGCATACACATATATACCTACATATATACATATACCCACATAATAATATAAACACATGCAATACACTTCTGTGGGTGTACAATATAGTCTTAATATCAATACAATGCCAATGTCAGTGTTAAAATCAGTATGATCAACCAAAACTGGGTAATAGTATCAACGAAATCAGTTTTTCTTCACCTCTTGTACATAATTTCAAAAGCCCAAGAAAAGTATGGAAGTGCTATAAATTAGTGTTAATCTTTGCTGCTACTTACTGCTTGAACTTGAGCTTGAGCTACTTGAACTGGAACTTGAGCTAGAGCTGCTTGAACTTGAACTACTTGAACTTGAGCTAGAGCTACTTGAACTTGAGCCTAAAGAAATATGTAGGTTTTATATGAAGTTTGCATAATATATGAAATGGCTATCACTGGAATCATACACATAGTTCATGCAAATAGTTTTGAAATAAGAAAACCATCCAGGCATTTTGTTTGAAATAGAAAGCTAGATAATTGTTTGAAAGTATTCAGTACATCATAAAAAATAAAAGTAAAAAACAATAAATGTAAAAATAAATGTGAATAGATGCAACACTGAATATCTGAAAGATTACTGTGAATAATATTTAATATTTCACATGTATAAGTGATACATGACTTGGTCACTGTACTTGTACTCATGCATAACATGGAACATCTTAATTTCGTTTCGTTTTTAGTACTTACTGCTAGAACTTGAACTTGAGCTACTGGAGCTTGAACTTGAACTGCTTGAGCTACTAGAGCTTGAGCTTGAGCTGCTTGAACTTGAACTTGAGCTGCTAGAGCTTGAACTTGAACTACTTGAGCCTAGGAAAAGTGTTTTATTCGTCTGAGCATAAAACATTTGACAGTCACAAATCAAACAAACTTGTTTGTTATATATCGATTCATATAATTACAGGTCATCACAATCCTGTGCTACTTTTTTTTCAGTTATCAGTGATAGGACAAACTAATATTGAAATGCAATTCGCTCTTGAGGGATTTACAGAGAGAAATTGACAAAATATCATATTTTCACATATACATATTCTGAATTCATGAACACATTTTCCACTTACTGCTAGAGCTGGAACTTGAACTTGAGCTACTGGAGCTTGAACTTGAGCTACTTGAACTACTGGAGCTTGAACTTGAGCTACTTGAACTACTGGAACTTGAACTTGAGCTACTTGAACTACTGGAGCTCGAACTGGAACTACTAGAACTTGAGCTTGAACTACTTGAACCTAGAAATAAACAATTCAGTCATGGGACATTACACTGCATATATCCTCTAAAAAGAAGAAGAAGAAAAAAAAAAAAAGAGAACACCAACCTCACAGAAAGAAAGGAACAGATGTAAATATGGAATAAGAATCATATTTTATTTTCTACGTACTGTCAGCATGGCTTCGAACTGCTGGAATCTTAACGATTAGAAACTATGATACATTATCACAAATAATGTGTTTCCTTGAATCTGCTTTTTTAAGATCAGCAGTTGCATGTGTGGTGCAATATCACTTTTTTTTATATATCTGGAAATAAAGGTGATTACAAAGTTTTGGATATGGTAACATGATAACTTGTTGTTAAGAGACTCGTTTTTGGTTTGTGTTTGTACTTACTGGAGCTGGAACTTGAACTTGAACTACTAGAACTCGAACTTGAGCTGCTGGAAATTGAACTTGAACTTGAACTACTAGAACTAGAACTTGAACAGCTTGAACCTATAAAGTAAATGTAGTTTTAATGTGTGCACAATCGATAGCTTTACCTTGAAAAGGTAAAAAAAATGAAAATAAATGAGAAGGAAAGGATAAGAAATATGTTAAAGTTAACCTTAAATTTCTGGAATATTACAAAACTGAACAATTAGACTGAACTAGACTCTCTGACTAACATTTAAGCTGCTTAGACTATCTGTACCAGTAAATGTTAGTAGTATTTTGTCTTCCCTGTTAAAACTGCCATGTAAAAAAAATCAAATACATATATCTTGTATCTCTTGACTTTACTGTTGCATCAAATTAGAAAAAAATGGAAAAACGATATCTATATAAAAACAATAACTCATTTACTTTACCTGTACCAGTCTGTCAGTTGAAAGAGACTTCAAAGATATGGTGTTACTTCAAAACGGAAGGTACCTAACTTGTACCTTTTATTTATAAGCGTGTATGTAAATATATGTGTATGTAAATACAAACACAAACTTATATGTGTATTTCCCTGCTTATTCGATCTTACAATATACAAACGTGAATGTGTATTTCTCTGCTTATTCGATCCTACACTTACCTTTTTTTTTACTGATTCCAATACTCACGATAGAAGTTTTAGATACTTACTACTAGCACCTGAAATACATACAAAATATTTGTTGTTAACCATTAGAAAGTCTTATAGAACCAGATATCAAACACTGATTTTTTTATACGATATCCATACAAACAATATAAAATCGTTATACCAAAATGAAGAAGAAAGGTTGAAGTATGTCACTCCTAAGGGAAGGTAAGAATAAATAAATAAATAAAAATATTTAAAGGAAATTATATTAGACAAATTATATTATTATTATTATCATTATTATCATTAATAATGTTTTCATTATTAATATTATTATGATGATGATTTGATTATGATTATGATCATTATTTTGATTATGATTGTGATTATTATAATGATTATCATTGTTATTACTATTATATTTGTTACTTTATCGTTCCCATGATTGAACTTTGAAATGATCGAAGTTCAAAAAGTTGATCATGATTATTATGCATTGCAGGTACACATGAGTTACAAGGAGTGCATTCACATACTGTTATTTATCATAACGACATATATCATTGAGAAAATTATGATCATGAGACCATTAAATTCTTATATGCATATTCCAGCTTATATTCATCACCGCTAGAATTATCCATATGCCAAATCAAACATGATACCTATGTTGTTTAGTATTGCATGCCCCTTTACCTTTATGTTGCCATTATCAGAAGTTGAATTATACAGGTGATTCATTGCCAATATCGAAAAGTGTCACCTACATATAAATGTTTTATTATTATCATTATTATTATTATAATTTTAGAATAAGACGAATTGTGCGAGTAGATTAATGTATTTAAAATGTATTTTTAAAATCGGTAAAATCGGAGAGTAAACGTGAACTAAATGTACACAGTGAATTGCTTGAACTTGCAGGTAAGTTTAGTTTAGCTTAATTATGAAGTATTAACCATATTTGAATGTATTTCAAATATTCAGTGCACAAAGAATTCTCGTGATAAACAAATCTGTCGTACTATTACTTACAACTATTACAGGAACTTGGGATACTTGAACTTGAACTTGGAACTATGGATCTGTAACTACTTTTTGAAACAGAACTCTGTGAGCTGTAACTACTCTGCATGCTTGAACACACAAAAAATGACGAACTGCATGCGCTGCATAATTCTGAATCTCCTAAGCTGCTTGAATCTGAGTAATAGTTTGATCTTGAGGTGAGACTGCTCGGACCCCCTGAAGTAAAGCTGCTCACACCACAATTACTTGAGAATATTAGGGCGCTGCTACAACTACGTGGGCTAACTATGGAACTGGATATGCTACATCTACTTGAAAGTGAGCTGCTACACAGAGAGGAAGCAGATTCAGTTGATTTTGGGTTGCTGGTTGAAGAACTGAACGGTCCTGAACTACTTTCACCGCTTGAAACAATAGTACTTATACTTCCAGGAGAACTACATGATACCATTATGCTGCTTGAGCATCTTGGACTGTTTGAGCTTGTAATGCTTGGACTCTCATGGCTGCTTGATATGGATTTACTAATAATACTTGAACTACTAATAATGCTTGAACTACTTGAGCCAATTTCACTTCTTGAAACTGATAAAACAGAACTCAAACTACTCTGGCTACTTGACTCAGAGCTGCTGGAAACAATATTACTTCCACTGCTTGATATAGAACTACTGGGAAGATATTTACTGCCTGAGAAGGCGCTACTTTCAATGCTTGAAGATGGACTAACACAACTGGAACTTATTGAAACAAGGCTACTTGGTATACATGAAGAATAAATGGAACTACTTGAAGAGGAGCTCATTTCTCTTAGTGAACATTCACTGACTGAACTAGATATGTTTTGAACAATGCTCAAGCTACTCGACATAGAACTGCTTGAAACAATACTACTTGTAATTCCAGAACTACATGATACCATTATGCTGCTTGAACTGCTTCGACTGATTGAGCTTGTATAGCTTGGACTGTGTTGGCTGCTTGATATAGATTTTCCACAAGAAGCACTGATACTGCTGGAACATGAACTACTTCTTGAAACTGAAATAACAGAACTCAAACTGCTCTGGCTCCTTGGTTCAGAACTGCTGGAAACAATATCACTTCCACTGCCTGAACAGCTACTTGATATCATTGCACTGCAGGATTTGCTGAAACTCATTGAACTTGGAATAGAAATGCTAGGAAGAGATTTACTGCTTGAGGAAGAGTTACTTTCAATTCTTAGAGAAGATGGCCTAACAAAACTGGAACTTGTTGAAACAAGGCTACTAGGTATACATGAGGAATAAATGGAACTACTTGAAGAGGAGCTCACTTCTCTTAGTGAATATTCACTAACTGAACTAGATACATATGGAATACTACTTAAGCTACTTGACAAAGGACTGCTTGAAACAATAGTACTTATACTTCCAGGAGAACTACCTGATACCATTATGCTGCTTGAGCAGCTTGTACTACTTGAGCTTGTAATGCTTGGACTGCCATGGCTGCTTGATATGGATTTACTAATAATGCTTGAACATGAACTTGAACTTCTTGAAACTGATATAACAGAACTCAAACTGCTCTGGCTACTTGACTCGGAGCTGCTGGAAGCAATATTACTTCCACTGCCTGTACAGCTACTTGATATCAGTGCACTACAAGATTTACTGAAACTTATTAAGCTTGATATAGAACTGCTGGGAAGAGATTTACTGCTTGAGAAGGCGCTACTTTCAATGCTTGAAGATGGACTAACACAACTGGAACTTATTGAAACAAGGCTACTTGGTATACATGAAGAATAAATGGAACTACTTGAAGAGGAGCTCACTTCTCTTAGTGAACATTCACTGACTGAACTAGATATGTTTTGAACAATGCTCAAGCTTGTCGACATAGAACTGCTTGAAACAATACTACTTGTAATTCCAGAACTACATGATACCATTATGCTGCTTGAACTGCTTCGACTGATTGAGCTTGTATAGCTTGGACTGTGTTGGCTGCTTGATATAGATTTTCCACAAGAAGTACTAATACTGCTGGAACATGAACTACCTCTTGAAACTGAAATAACAGAACTCAAACTGCTCTGGCTACTTGGTTCAGAACTGCTGGAAACAATATTACTTCCACTGCCTGAACAGCTACTTAATATCACTGTACTGCAGGATTTACTGAGACACATTGAACTTGGAATATAAATGCTAGGAAGAGATTTACTGCTTGAGGAGGAGCTACTTTCAATTCTTAGAGAACTGGAACTTGTTGAAACAAGGCTTCTTGGAGTACATGGAGAATAAATGGAACTACTTGAAGAGGAGCTCATTTCTATAAATGAACATGCACTGACTGAACTAGATACATATGGAATACTACTTAAGCTACTTGACAAAGGACTGCTTGAAACATTAGTACTTATACTTCCAGGAGAACTACATGATACCATTATGCTGCTTGAGCAGCTTGTACTACTTGAGCTTGTAATGCTTGGACTGCCATGGCTGCTTGATATGGATTTACTAATAATGCTTGAACATGAACTTGAACTTCTTGAAACTGATATAACAGAACTCAAACTGCTCTGGCTACTTGACTCAGAGCTGCTGGAAGCAATATTACTTCCACTGCCTGTACAGCTACTTGATATCAGTGCACTACAAGATTTACTGAAACTTATTAAGCTTGATATAGAACTGCTGGGAAGAGATTTACTGCTTGAGAAGGCGCTACTTTCAATGCTTGAAGATGGACTAACACAACTGGAACTTATTGAAACAAGGCTACTTGGTATACATGAAGAATAAATGGAACTACTTGAAGAGGAGCTCACTTCTCTTAGTGAACATTCACTGACTGAACTAGATATGTTTTGAACAATGCTCAAGCTTGTCGACATAGAACTGCTTGAAACAATACTACTTGTAATTCCAGA